CTTAGTACATATACTATATATAAGCCATAAGATATGATAGAACCAACCAATTATATATATTTTTTTAGAATTAGAAATATTTATTTATTTATGTTTTTTTTCAGTAACAAAAATAATAGTTTCAGATAACACTATGGTAGAGAATCTACGACACAAAAAAAAACTTTACATTACATTATATATGATTGAACCAATGAAAAAAAAAGAATGAATTCTTTCGTTACGATTTTTCATTATTTCCTTTGACGATCACTGATTATCAATTCATCATACCGGCAAAAAATCAGAAGAAAAAAAAACCAAAAAACCAAAAAATTATCAAAAAGTAGTAACACAAACATAAAGTAAAATAGACATACAAGCGCAAAAAGGAAGTTATTTTAATAAAATTAGGTTGTTTTTAACCGATTCAAAAATTCTTTTTTTTTTTTTTTCTAAAAAAAATTTTTTTGTATCTATATAGTATCATATTCATATCGATATCAATTCATATTAGATGTAGATATAGATATATATAAAAATAGTGTGTGAAAGAATTTCCTTTTATAGATTAAGAGGAAATTTTAGATGCAGATCTTATGCACAAAGGCAGCACAAAATTCGATAAATAGAAAAAAAATCACACTACATAAGCATAAATAGTAATGAAGATTACACTGCATAAAATAAATAAACAAATCGTTAATAAAGATTCACAAAATTGAACTAAGTAGAAAATTTTATAAATGTTTCAAATTCGATTTACGTACGTAAAACTGTTTTTTTTTTAATGTGTGAAAACATCATATATTACAGATGTATAATTACGGAACAGTATTTGCAAAATATGGACATGAACTATATGGGCCGATGGATATGGATATTTATGGACTATATCCATATCAATATTTTTTCATTGGACATAAGGCACTTATCCAAATCAAACACGTAAGCTCCTGTTCTAACTAAAAGAATAAGAGGTCAAATTACCAAAATATTCTGAAATTTTCAAAAAAGATGATATACACTGTTTGGAGTTGTCCAAGTTCAAATAAAATTTTTATTGGACATAGTCCAAATACGAACACTGTTACGCAAAATTTTTACCAAGGATATTATTGTATATATAAAAATTTGAATTGATTTGGTTCTATGGTCTTTGAGTCAATTTTTTTTAATGAAGTTTTAGTAAAAATTTGGCTAGCATACCTAGAGATATGCCATAAGCATTATGCAGGCAATGTTGAATGCTACATAATGCTGCATAATGCAATGCCAGTTGCATAAAATTTAAAAATGCACATAGAAATTATTATATAATTTTGATACATATCATTTCATTAATAATTACTTTATAGACATCTGTTCCTATCATATTTATAGCCTGTGAAATCCAATAAAAAATTAATCTACCAGGTCTGTTTTCACTATATAAATCTAATATTTTATGTTTTCAAATCCAATAACCTCTCAGTAATAATACATAGTCTGTTCACTGCATATAGGTTTTAAAAGGTCATAGTATATTATACAGAACTGCATAATGTATCATGCGACATAATGCTGCATTATGTAATGCAAGGCTAAAAAACTTGTATTCGCACATCTCTAAGTGTACCCATCAGGAAAATCTGATAATCTGGGAGTGAGGTTTAGGCTTGAAAATCATATGATTTCTATGCCCGAAAAAAAATCATTTTAAATGCAAAGACTTCCAATCACAATCGACATTATTTAAAAATTTTGCCATTTCTGGTGCATTTGTGTTATTTTGAAACTTAATGAAGTAATTACCGCTATTGCAAGCCTTTGTGCATGTCATTGAAAGTATCTATATTAGTATATTGATGTATAGTACTGAATTTTCATCATATATTTAAACTCCGTAAAAAAACACAAAAAATGAAATAAATAAACGAGATCATAATAAATGATGGGTTAGTAAATAACTAATGCTTTCGTGTGAATCATTATTAATTAAATATTATGCTTCAATCGTTGTTGTAAAACAATGTCGAAGTTGCACTTGAATAATTATTAAAAGAATATAGAGCAGAAATATAAAATATAATTATCATTATTTATTTATTATTTATTAATTTTTTTTTATATTTCATTTTTCCAATTGTCACTGATATTTCCATGGCTAATACTAAAGTAAACGAGACAGATAACCAGAATGTGGCTATTGACGATGTCAAAAGCTAATAAACCTGTCAATCCATGGAAACTTATAAGATCGTTAGAGAGGTAACAAGCAATGACCTTCATTGCAGCATTTCTTGGATGGACTTTAGATGCCTTCGATTTCTATTTGCTTTACCATAGTGCGTCAAATTTATCTTTTCATTTTAATCTTTTATATGAAAATTTTCTTATTATTATTAATATTATTAGTATTACTGCTGAATTTCAAATGAAACCATCTGATATTGCTACAAGGTAATTTTCAAAGTTATTTATATTAATAATTAGTAAAATATTATTAATATTGAATAATTAAGCTTTAAAATATCGAGCAAAATGAATTATCAAATTGAATATAATTATTTCCATGATTTATTTATTAAAAATTTGACGTTTCAATTTTATCAAAGTATTACGGTAACATTATTACTATGTCCTGTTGGTGCATTAATCTTTGGTATATTGGCTGATAAATATGGCAGAAAGTATCCATTAATAGCGGATATCATCTTGTATAGCGTGGTGGAATTAGCTTCTGGGTTTGCTCCAAACTTTCATGTTTTTGTAGCATTAAGAGCTATTTTTGGAATTGCGATGGGTGGTAAGTGGGGTTTAGGTGCAGCTTTAGCGATGGAAACTTTACCACTGGAATGTCGTGGGTAAGCAATTATCGTCTATATACCTTTTTTAATTATATATATATATATTATTTGTCAAATTCATTTTATTAGTTTGTTCTCTGAAATTTTGCAACAAGGTTATCCAACTGGTTACTTAATTGCTGCTATATTTTACTATGCTGTAATTAAGACTCTTGGTTGGCGCGCAATGTTTTGGGTTGGCTCTTTTCCCGCTCTTGTCGTTGTCTATATACGTTTTTTTGTTCCTGAATCTAAAGCATGGGAAAAAACTCGTGAATCTCGTAGATCAAATACATTTAATGAACTGAAGAAGGTTGACTATTTAATTTTATTTGTCGTTTATTATATATTTTTTATAATTTTCATTTATAAATGTTATTTAGGTTATTAAAGATCACTGCCTGAAAATTATTCATACTACCTTGTTAATGGCTAGTTTTGGTTTTGCGAGCCACGGTACTATTTATAATTACATTTTACTTAAACGTAAATTTACATTAAAGTTTTTTTTTTCATAAATAGGAACTCAGGATCTTTTTCCCACGTTTCTTAAAATACAACTCTTATTTTCTCCAGGTATTAAACGCTTAATATACTTATGCGAGCTTTTATCTTAGAATAATGAATATCACTAAAATTAGTATATTTCATTGTACTTAGAGGATATCGCGATAACGACTGTTATAGCCAACATTGGTTCTATTATAGGCGGTACAATATGTGGATATTTATCTCAATATTTAGGCCGTAGGAAAATGGTTGTCATATCGATGATATTTGCTGGTGCTTTTTTACCTTTAATAGCTATTCCTGTTAATAAATCACTTGTGACTTTTGGTGCTTTTGCGGTTTATTTCTTTGTTCAGGTAAATAACTTATTTCTGATTTTATGTTTAATTAAATTCTAAGATTAATTCATCAATTAGGGTGCTTGTGGTATTTTACCTGCACATTTGAATGAATTATTACCATCACGTTATCGTGGAACATTCCCAGGATTAACTTATCATTTGGGTATCTTGATCGCTTCCTCATCCACTCAGATTGAAGCATTGTTGGGTGAAGCATTTCCTAAAAGTGGTGACCTGATTATGGACTGGTTATGGTGGTTATGTCTGCATGTGCTATGGTTGTTGTAATTATATTTATTTCTACTGGAGGCGAACAGAAACATGTGAATTTCATGGAAACAGAAATTAGTCCTGTAGAAGACATAGAAGTTGTTTAAGCTAAAAATTTTCATTAATGAGAATGAATTTCTCTTCAAACTATCTGTGCTAATTATTTATATACATACTTACCAGTACGATCACGTTGAATATGTGACATGAAATGGTTTCTTTTTTTGATATTTGCTATTCAGATTTTTGCAAATTCTTTTTTGGTATAAGTAATGGTTTTCATTTTTTCAACTATAGGGATAGTCTAAAGTCAGGTAGTAATCTATATACATCACGTTATTTTTAATTTACAAATTTTTACCGCCCTTATACGTCTGATCTCAAGTTAGTGAAACACAGTTTTCCTAAATTTGCTCCATTTATAATGAAAAAATCCTTAGAAAAGGAATTTTACTGCCTCACGAATTTGAAAACATTATATATTATCTATCTATCTATTGCACTTGCTCTTGCACTTGCTCTTGTGGAGAGCAGTGCAGTGCAGTGTAGTGTAGTGCAATAGGAAAAATTACAATTGTACTTATAAAAGGGTATATAAAATTTTAATAATTTATTGGAAAAATAAGTAGTTTTTTGTAAATATATTGCAACATGCTTCGTTATTTTTGGTTTATCTTTTTTTCTTTCGGATTTTTTACTTCTCAGATTAATTAAAATTAAAAGATTCTACAATACTTTGCGCTTCGTTAAGCTAATCATTTACTGCCTAATTTTTTCATCGACTGCTTAATTTTTTTAACCCCAATTATTTTCTGATCTCAAGCTTGTAAAACGCGTTTTTGCTAAATTTGCTTTGTTTACTATAATAATTACCCATATAGTCGCGAATAACGTAAATTTCAGCCTAAATTAAGCTTAATTCTTGCCAAAATTCAAAATAACACACCTGTGTGCTATTACCACTCAGCTTGATGTAAACGAGTCACGTATTTATGTGACTGAGCCGGTCACTTAATTATATAATAACTAGAAATTGCACATGTGGGCTTCGCCGCCTGTTTAATGGTTGTGTATACAGAACAAAGTTTAATTGTGTGACAATAATTTGGATACTGCTGATAAATTAATGGTTTTCATATTTCTAAATTAATTCGAATAAATGAGAAGCATTACTTAATAACAAACTTGAATAATTTATTCAAATACCTCAATTTATAAATTGTTTTTCACTAAATTATTATAATATAAAATTAATAATAAGTTAATATTTCTCTACTACCGGCATAATAAAATTAAATAAAATGAATTCAAATAGATATCTCGATGTCTAAATACCTTATTTATTTAATTAGTGTAAACAGAACGAAGTTAATCAAGTTGTTCAAGATTATGTAATCATGAATTTAACAAATTAGAATCTTCTCGAATTAATTTGGATGAAATGAATACTTTAATTAAGTGAAATAAATATTTGATAATTAATATAAATGGGTTTATATTTTTGTGTGAATCTCTGGATTTTTAATATATAATAAATTATGAATCAGTTCTGATCAACTTACCGACAGTTAATTCACAGACAATGTTTATTTTTTACAGACGATTAATTTACAGACAAGTTAATTTCATAAATGATTTATTCACAGACAAGTTAATTTCATAGACAGTATAATTTAACAACAGTTAAATTTTTTTTTAATCAATTGCACTAATCTTAAAGGTTTACTGTATTCCAATGACAATGACCAGAATTAATTTGTCAGTGAAATGAGCTGTTGGTAAAATATACTGTCCATGAAATGAACTTGTCTGTGAATTAATAATTGAGAAAATAAACTTGCTTGTAAATTAATTTTCGTAACTTAAATTGTCTATGAAGTGATTATCAGTGAAATAATACAGGCAATAATGAATAACAAATGTTAATAATCAGTAAATAAATATTTGTAAGATATTTGGTGCTGCTTTCATGATATTTTTTTTTACCTACTATAAAATAATTCATAACAACTAGCTTCTTCTATTATCAAGTAAATAGAAAAATGAACTGACAACTCTGATGAAAGGCAATGAAACTAATAAAAAGTGACAAAATTATAAAAAGTGACAAAACTGAAAAAGGTGCAAAACTGACACAATGTGCAAAACTGGCAAAAAGTGCAAATATAAAAATGACTAAAGGTAACAAATTGATGTATTTAAAAATATATGTCAGGTTTACACGATACTAAAACCTCTACATGTTGGCTATAATAATAAGATTTGTCTCAGGAGTTAAATTATTTATTGTGTAAGATAAAATAAGGCTTTTAAAATAGGATTCGGAAAATAAAAATTAACTATTTCTTTTAGCCTCATTGTATAAACTAAGAAAAGAGTACCATATATTTCTAAAATTAAGCACCTCCCAAAGCAATTTTTATAGCCAAAATTCTTGTGATCTAATAATCAGATCTGCATAATTTTGGTACAATTCAAATTAGCTTGCTAAAATGATTCAAATAGTGCCAAAATTATGCAAATCTGATTATTAGATCACAAGAATTTTGGCTATAAAAAGTGCTCTGAGAGGGTGCTTAATTTCGGAAGTATACAGTATATATATTGATATAGAATCTTATTTTTTAGAAAGAACCGAGCAGCAAAGCCACTGCTGATCTAGTTTACAAGCTCGAAGCATGTTACAAATTTTTTTGTAATAGCAATAATTCTTTTTTTTTCTCATGATCATAAAAAATTTCGGAAGTATACAGTATACATATTGATATAGAATCTTATTTTTTAGAAAGAACCGAGCAGCAAAGCCACTGCTGATCTAGTTTACAAGCTCGAAGCATGTTACAAATTTTTTTGTAATAGCAATAATTCTTTTTTTTTCTCATGATCATAAAAAATAGTAAATCGATTTAGCAGTCTTTCTCTATGGTCTTTCGCCAATGTCTTTAGTGATCAGTAATTATCAATTCATCATCCCAGCAAAAAAATACAACAAAAAAAATATATGGAATAGTGAAGTAGAAGAATAAGAGCATAAACTTTAATCAAAGCAGTTGTATATGCATCAATAGGACTTATTTTTACTACAATTCAAGTTGTCAAAGATGATTTGTGAATTTTTTGTTTTTTGCTATATACTAGATCATAATCATAGTCATGACCATGATCATGAAGATAGATAAGATAATGGCAAGAGTGAATATTTCCTTTCTTGGGTATTGTGAGGAAATTTTTTATATCAATCTCTGCAAGAGAGTAACACAACAACCAAAAATAAAGCGATCAAAGGAAAACATGTTACAAGTAACATATGGCAAATGTTACACAATTATAGGTGCTGGTGAAATTAATTTCACCAATTTCACCAATTCACCATCAATTTCACCAATAATAGTAAAATCATTTTACCACATTTCACCATATTCTACCAGCATCTATATACACAACCATATATAGCTAGTCACAATGGCAACCAAGAATTATAAAGCATTAACTAGAAAGCAAACAGGTATATGCATACATATTTTAAACTATTATTTATTTTTTTTTATGACTAAAAATATATTAATTAATTTTAGATATAGCTAAAGGAATTTGGTACAAATCCGTTGCTATGGGTGCCAATAAATTGAAAGTGATGTTATAACAAATTGCTATCAATGTAAGAATAAATCTTGATGGCAAGTAAAAATTATTAATCATAGTGCTTGTCGTATAGCTATAATGTTATTGAAAGCATTTGATATTTCAGAAGATGAAGCAATAGTATTTTCAAGACACCATTCTCAAGAAGGCATCCATTCTTATAGTAGTCCAACTGATGATCAATGTTTGTCATCAATAGCATTATTAATTCCTTATACAGTATATAATGAGGACCTTGAGTCTTATTATTCTTATCCTGGTGATTCATATCAATATATTAATTATAATTCTGATGAAAATGAAGGTATTATTAGTGTGACATTTAAAAAAATTTTTTTAATTATTTATTTGTAAATTACTTATCTTTAGACAAAAATAATAAAATAGAAATTTACAGTCCTAATTCTAATACTACGTTGGATTAAATTCTAATGTTAATGTGGCAAATTCAAGTTCCAACACTATTTTAAATACAAGTTCCAATGATATATCAAACATAAGTTCCAACACTATATCAAACATAAGTTCTAATGCTAAATCTAATGCAAGCTCTAATACTATTTTGAATGCAAGTTCTAAAACTGTGTCAAATGCAAGCTCTAACACTATGTTGAATGCAAGCTCCAACATTATGTTGAATTCAAGTCAACCTTCTGTTGCTACAATTTCAAGTATTTTATCTACATTGTTTTAAATTAATTATGTATTTTAACTATATTTAATAGTTTTTTTTTTATAGATAAAGGTTCTCATTTTAAAAAGCGTATGATTCCAACTTCAAATTTGAATCCCAAACTTACAGCACTTTTAAAGTTCCACAAATTCACCATCAGAATCAACAAAAATTACTAGTGAAAAGCAAAGAATCAGTGATACAAACGAAAGAAAATAAAACAACTACTTCTTCTATTGATAACGATTATGAACAGATATCGATTACAAATAATAAAGAGCGATAAGTGTTGCAACAAATTACAAATAATATCATTATCCAAATTCCCGATACTAGCAAGCCAATCGATGTCAATCTGAAGATTTCTTTCAACAATTAATTAAAATATTTCATAGTTTAATAAGGTAATAAATAGCATTTTATATGTAATTGACAATTTTAAACTGTATATGTTTCGCCGGCAGTTTCAAATTTAATTAATATTTTCACAACTGCGTAATCCCAATTTTAAAAATATTGCTTTTTGTTTATTCACACGGGTCTATATGAAAATCACATGATTTTCATATAGACCCGTGCGAATAAGCTTTCAAAAAAAGCACGGGTTGTTACATAAGACCCGTACGATAAATTTGTTGTACATTATAGTTGCTAAAAACTGTTACAGAGATCTTATACACTGTGAAATTTCAATATTACATTTTTCTATATTCTCAATTTAAGAATGATTTACAGATTTCAATAAAATTTTAACTTTTTAATAATGAATTTTTTAACGAAATATAAAGACTTAATTGGATCTCGCGATCTTAAAAATAATATTTATACTGTTATGGAATTATCATAGAAAGCCTTATAAATAATTGATGATGATTATTCTATTTATGAAATGCTATTCATTATTTTCTATCCATTACTGAAAAACAATTTAGATCAACTAAATAAGCTTTACTTTAGAAAAAAGAAACTTCCACTTCTTAAATATAGCATAATGCTAAATTAATATACAGCAATTACTAAAATACAATATTTTACCATGTTTATAAGCTCTATTGAACACTAAGAAAAAAGACTGAATATAGGGTACGAAAAATTTTTTGTTATTCAAAAATATGAAAGCGCATGCTCTTGCGCATAATTTGCTTTGAACGACTATGAAATTAAAGACTAAAGAAGAAAATGTTACTGTATACAATATAAAACGCGATAATGCTAAAAATTATCTATACGAATAAGCTGATAACTAAAAATATGAATATATAATTAAGAAGCTTGATCAGTATGCCCAAGGAAAAGTTAGGTAGAATTCATTAAACTAAAATAGGTACCCTGTATTCAGGAATATCAGATGATTCATCCTCAGATTTCCACTGTATAATAGGCGGTGGATGAACGCTATATGAAGTGATTTCTTTATTCATAATTCTTGCAAGAATAGCATAATCGATTGCACCTTGTGGTTTCATAGGATCAAGCTTTTCTACCAACTTGCGGGCACCCGAATTCGAAACAGCATAAGCATGTTTACAACCTGGATTAACTGATTCATATAGTCCATTGGCAAAAGAACTATTACCAACAGGTTTACCCATTCCTTCAAAACAATGACCTATATACAAAGTATCCCAAGAATCGGGTAAATTACGATGAATGTCTGTCATAATAGCAGTGATGTTAGTTTCAAAATCAACACCATCTTCTAGAATTAAAGCGTTATTAAGGCCTTTATCAATTATTAATTTATAAATCATATAATGACTGAGATAACAAGCTCTTCGATCAGCGGATAATTCACCGTAACCATATTTTCGAAAATGGTTATTATCAAATATGGAAGCGGCGTTGTAATAATCAAAATCTAAATCAAGATAGTAAGCTAGTTTATCCATTATTTCACGTCTATCAGCTCGATAATGAAGATTAATAACATAAATATGATCGAAGCCAAGTGATCAATTCGAAGGTTTAATCTCTTTAATCTCTTTTAGTAAATAATTGGACATATTGAATAGCGGTGAGATTAAAAAGTTTATATAGATTAAAATTATAACCAAGAGGCCAATATATGCCTTGCCATGTTTTGCTCTTGACATGATTTTCCGATAAAAAAAAATAAAAAAATTCGATACGTATGTGATATCGCAGAGAAAAAAGACACACTATTATATAATAACAGAATAACGTTATTGTAACATCGAGTAATTGAAATCTATAATTTGTTTATTAAATGCATAAAATAATCTTAATATGGTAGAACAAATATTTAAAGTTAGACTATTACGTCAACTGAAACGAACCAGCGTGTATGTGGAGTATCATTTATCGCAACAATAAATTATATGTTACATTAGATTTGAGATGCTAATTCGAGATCATTCAAGTAATTTGAAGGACTGATTTTCGAAACAACGTCCACAAGCATTTCGCGCTTATCTCTATATATTAAAAAAAGACGTTGAATAGATATTGCATATTCGTTTAACATATTTGCATATGGTTTAAATAGGTTTGGGCCGAAACACTGAGTACAGTACAACCTTAATTCAAACATTAAATGCTAACATTAAAGGGCTGTTAAAATAGTACGTACGTTGTGAAGGGGTAACGCGACCGGCCACAACGATCCAAGCATATGACTTGGGATCTGAAATGCGTATTGATCGATAAAAGCGAAGGAATTTAATAAATGCCAATTCGGGTTTGGCTTGAGGCAATGCTCTATTGAAAAACAATAGTAAGACACCTCTGATATTTAGTAGTGGGAATTAAAGTCATAGTCATAAAATGAGTATAAATTACTCATCGTTTGTCATCGATACAGGACGGCAGTAGTATTGCATGAAAATATTATTACGTAGCTACAATAATAATCATTTTAACCAATATAGTATTTAAAGAAGCCATACAAGCATTAACAGCTCTAAAAATCTTTAATGGGCTGAAATTTGTCTACAAAACTCTTCATCATATAATGTTAGGTTTTCACATTATATATTTTCTTATTTATCAATTGAACATTATCAATCAATCAATATATTAATTAATTTCTCGTTTAAATTTTTATTCGCATCGATTTAAAATTCTCTCAAGCACATTCTTAAGAAACTCAATTTCTAAATTGTGAAAAGTAGTTTAACCGGTAAAAAGGTTCATTATCTCGATGAAAAAAAAAGTTTGAACCCGCTTTAGACTTGCTCTGATTAGCTAAAATTTATTATCCACATTTTGCGATATGAATCTTTAGCAAAATTACAGTAAAGATCGCTTCAATTAATCGTAGTATTTTATGCACGATCTCGGTAACTAGCTAATCACATTGAGAGCACCCTTAGTCTCTAAGTTTAGCGATTATTTATTGGTTTAATTGATCTAAGTATTTAATATGAGCTATTTATCTCTTCTTATCTACATTAAGTCTGTATAATTATTATCCGCCAAAACATTTCTAATTATGCAGATTAGTATGACCGGATCCGTACGGTATGGGGTATGAAATACCCCCATATTTATTATCTATTCGGCGTTATGTGTTATTAGGGTTAGCATTAGAAATTAGTATACTGTAATATGTTTTTTAAAGAGGTATTTTATACTTTTTACATCTGAAGAATCTCTTGTGTTTACATTAGTGTTTCATATCAATATAATTATGCTGAATTTGGTTATATACCCGATAGTTATATGCAATGAAACGTGAAATTCTGCACTTAAACTTTACGATATTACATCACATAGCACTATATTTATATATATATAGTATGAGATTGTTTAACCATAACGAACGTTCAACTTGTATTTTTTTTATTATTGTCCTATGGAATTGAGCTAACCAAATACGGATTTACTATAACTGTCTTCAGAGCCGTTAACGGCTTATTCCGAAGCCGGTTTTAGCTGCAACTGAATAGGCTTTTTAATGCCATAGTTCCATAGTTATTGAAGCCAAGACTTGTTCATGGCTAGTGCTTGACTTGAGCCATGACTCAAACCGTGTAGATAATACTGTACTGCAATAGCATAAATATAATTACGTAGCTACAGTAATAATGATTTTAAAGGAATATAATATTTAAGGAAGCCATACAAGCATTAACATCTCTAAAATCTTTAATAGGCTGAAATTGGTCTACAAAACCTTCGTCATATAATGTCAGGATTATTTCTTATTTAATCAATTGAACATTATCAATCAATATATTAATTAATTTCTCGTTTAAATTTTCATTCGTATTGGTTTATAATTCTCTCAAGCACATAATTAATAGATCAAGCTCAATTTCTAATTTGTGGAAAGTAGTTTAACCGGTAAGTAAGTTCATTATCTCGATGAAAAATAAAAGCTTTAAACCACCTTTTTTTGTCATAGACTTGTTCTGATTGGCTAAAAGTTATTATCCGCATTTTGCGATATGAATCTTTAGCAAAATTATAGTAAGGATTGTTTCAATTAATCGTAGTACATTGTGCACAATCTTGGTAGCTAGCTAATCACATTGAGAGCATAATTAGTCACTAAGTTTTATTTGTTTAATTGATCTAAGTATTTAATATGGGCTGTTTAACTCTCATTTAGCTTCTTATCCACATTACGTAGTATGTATAATTATCATCTGCTAAGAGCATTTCCAGATCTGCACGGTATGGGTGTGAAACACCCCTATATTTGATATCTATTCCGGCGTTGTGTATTATTAGGGTTAGCATTAGAAAATTATAGTGAATTGGTATGGGATTTACTTATTTTTCACTGTGATACAGATCACATGAATTATAAATATTCTACGTATATGCTGTAAATTTGCTTTAATTTTAAAGTTCGGTAGAATAGATTATATACAAAAATTTTGCAAGGAATTTTTTTTGTTAGAACACAAGAGGTGGTTTTTTAGACAAAATTTTGAGTTATTAGCTATTTTTTGAAAAATACAGTTACACCTGATCTTATGATCTACATACAAAACTTTCCTTTTTTGGTTTATATCACGGTGGGAAATTAGAGCACGCGATTGGTATAATATATTTTTTATAGAGGTATTTTACACTCCATACTATATACATCTTAATATCATAAAATTTCTTGTTTGTTTAATGTCATATCAATATAGTTATGTTGTATTAGTTGCATACTCGATATTTATTTTATCTGAATTCAAAACAATATATTACTATTCTATTCTGTATTGGAGTTACTCAACATTTCCTAAATTCATTCGTTTCTGGTTTAACATGACAATGTCGCGCAGCCACTTATTTTATATGATCTTATTTATCCATAAAAAGCTATTAAAATGGTTAAATAAGTTGATCTTTCTCATCCTAACATTAATTATAAAGAGCTGTTAGAATGATTATTTTTAATCTACATTTTGATTCACAATAGTCAAGAACTAGACTCAGTGCCTTCCAACAGCTAACAATTATTTCCAAAGGTTTGTTTTACTTCCAGAAATTAGTAATTCCAAACACATCCCTATAAGAAAAATGGTATTGGTCATTGGGGTGCGTGGTATACTAAGTAAATCAAAACTATATGTGGTATCATATAAAAATCAATTATCGAATTTTTTTGTAATTATAGCAAAATTTAAATTCCTAACAGTTCGATAGATTTGGATAAAATTTTGCAAAGACTAGTATTATGTCTCTACGAACAAAGCTATAGAGCCAGTTCTTTCATTTAAGCATGAAAAAAACTTTGATCTAAAGAGAATGTCTCTACAAACAAAGCTATAGAGCTATTTCTTTCATTTAAGCAGAAAAAAACTTTGATCTAAAGAGAAAATCTAATTTGGTTTCTTTTTAAAGAAATGGCTTTATAGCTTTGTTCATAGAGATATAATACTAGTCTTGGCAAAATTTTATCCAAATCTATTGAACCGTTAGGGCTATGCATCTATTTAAAGCTTTGCTATAATTACTATAAAATTATTACCTATCTAAAAAATATTTATTAATTGATTTTACTATATGGCCACATATAGTTTTGATTTACATAGTATACTGCGCACCCCAACGGGTCGTGGTACGGGTTGGTTTCGGGAATGTACGAAGTGGTACAGATTGTGTGGCATGCACATGCATGTTTTACGGAATGGTACGGTAAAATGGCATGGACATTTCGGTATGGGGTGGTACGTTATATTACGTCATACAGAACAACACGTTCAGATGACACGTATGTCTACGTTGCACACGTGTTAGCTCATTTCGCGGAGAGCAAAAGATTTTTTTTTAAAAAAAGTGCAATATCTCATAATTTCACTGATAAAGCTGCTCTGAGTATCTTAACAAAAAAGATTCCTTACAAAATTTTACTACACATGCAATTAGTTTGTTCGTATTATATTGATTACTAATGTAAATTTATGTTTTAACATGTTTGTGATTTGTTATTGTGGTGGCATGTGAATTTACGTATCATTACCAGTGCCGATTCGACTAGTAAACTGCTGCAAAATACGTACTATTTACGGTCCAATTGGCACAGGCATACGGTCCCACACGGACTACCGAATCCGTACCAACTCGGACCATACTCGTACAAATCCGGATCTTGACCTGTGCCACAAAGGCCCATGCCTATTCGAAACCAACCCGTACCAATACAAACTATTTTTCTTATAGGGCAATATTTAGTCTTATTTTAATATATATTAACCACTTGATTTTAGTAAATTACGTATTTTATATATCTGTTACAGCTGTTTTCATAAATTCTGAGACATCTAAAAGTTTTCTCATTTCCCAGAATCTTTTCAGTTTCGTCCAGTAAATTACCTAGCTCTCTGGAAACTATATCGCTATTTTCGAACCTTCAGTCCAGAGACAGTAATGTAGTTTCTGAAGAGTTAGGTAATTTACTGGAAAACATCGAAAAGATTCTGGGAAA